CTTTTTTCAATAATGCTGTAGGAAGCTTGTAGAGTCTCCATACAAGGAATCTGTGGAATGGTCCAAATGGCTGATATTTTGGGTTGATGAGAGAGTTGTTCCCCTGGATCATGAAGACAGCAATTACTTGCTAGCCTCGAGAGGTTTTCTTTCCAAGGTAAGATCAAAAGTTCGAATCTTTATAGTAATAGTTTCAGATTGGTATACTAATCCCCCCAAGAAATATAAGTTTTGTGGTCTTCAGGCACAATTGATGTATATAATCAAGTAACCGTGTATTTGTTTTAGTCTAATTACATAAAAGAGAAAGACTTGTTATGTGTTATCTTCTGAATAACCAAGTACTCCTTCGAGTGTTAAAATTTTCTCTGCGGATTTGTTTATAGTTGATAGATAATTTGTCCGGAGTGTAAGAAATACATGGATAGTAAACATTAGAGGATGTTTTGTGGTTTTGGGAAAATGGTTCGAGTTCCTTATACGATTAGTGAAAATTCTATTAGTTCCTGTGAGTATCCTGAAATGGAAGAATGAGATGTGTTTGTTTTTAAATGTGTTGGCATGAACGGATGCTGATATATATTATGCAGGTTAGACATGAGTGATTTGAAGGGAAAAAAACGAGTTTTGGTTTTTATTAAACGGTAAGTACAGAATACTACCCAGGCCTGGAGTATTTTACAGAAGGAAGAGGAACACAACTAACTTTGATAATTTATAATTACAAACACCGCCTACCGTTTGTTCATCTGATGGAATTGATTATGCCATCAGAATTCTTGCAGTTACATCCTCAAGTTTTTATCCATATTGCAAGTAACCCCCATTTTAAGTCTCGCGATCGAATTTACATCTACATATGCAAATATTACGAACAATCTTGAAAAAGTTGGGACTTTTCTGGTCTTTTCTGCTATATTCTGAAAAACCAAGACTCATCTTCGTAAAGCATGATGATGCAACCAAATTATGGAGATATACCTAAGTAATGCTTTTGAAATCATCGAATCGGAACCTTTTTTTCTTTAAGTTATATTACTCCATATCCATAAGCTTACGGAGAGTCTCTGTAATTGTCCTTTCATTAATCGACCAAATCGTGTCTTCTCATTTTAAAGGTACCCATTCCCCCTAACAACATCTTCGCCATAAACAGCAAGAAGTCTCCGGAAGGTGCAGCTGAGGACTACGAAAACCTCCTCAAACAGCTCGTATCTCAGAAAAAATTGCCCACTTCAAAAATAACCGGGTTCCCAAAATTCGACCTAATGCTACTTGGAATGGGGCCCGATGGCCACGTGGCATCTCTTTTCCCGAACCATCCTCAACGCCACGAAAAGTCAAAATGGGTCACGTTCATAACCGACTCGCCCAAACCGCCCCCTCCAAGGATCACTTTCACGTTTCCAGTTATAAACTCTGCCTCCGAAATCGCCATGGTGGTCACCGGCGCTGAGCTGGCAGGTACGGTTAAGACAGCATTATGTGCTGAGCTGGCAGGTGCCTCCGAAATCCCTCTGCCGAGTATGGAAGTTTCACCCGAAGGGCAATTAACGTGGTTTTTGGATCGAGATGCTGCTTCGCAGATGTAAATATCTGTCAAGACTTAACATGAATAATTCTGCTATTCAATAAAGGAAAAGATTAAAAAAGGAAAAAAAAAATGATTTGTAGATGAAAGGTTGAAGGTGAAAAAGTTTGTTGTTTAAAGTTGTGGAAGTGATTTTTTGTTTGTGGAAATAAAATCAGAAACAGAAGTTTTCTTTCTGTTTGCAGATTTGTTGCCCTTTTGCTTTAAGTCTGATTACATTAACTAAAGGGTGACTGATTTTGAATGAGATCTTGGATTTTCAGACAAGAGCATATGTTATTGCTTAATTGTCTCTATATATGTGCTTTTTTCTTTTTGCTTTTTCATTTTGGACAGCNTTGAAAGCAGTGTGCTTGAATTTTGTGCACCTGCACCTTATTATTTCTTTACTATCATCTAATGAACATCCTCAACTTGTTCTGGTTTCTATTTTTCAGTATGCTTTGCTTGGAGTTCAAATGAACAAATGGTTATAAATATTAAATATATGTACACTGTTCATTGATTTTGATGGCCTCATTTTGTATATAAGGTTATTGTTTGTCAAGTCTAATGGTCACATATATTTTTTAATGAAATATAGTACATAATTTCAAATTAAAATGTCTTTTAAGATGCAAATAAAAGTATGACATCTTACCGCATTAGTCTAATGCATTTTTTATAGCTTAGGATTTTAGCAAAGCTGCCTGAGTTTCCAGGCCTGTATTTATTTCCACTGTTCCCAATTATTTTATTTTATTTTATTTGCTATTTTGAAAATTGTGACATTTTAATGCATCCCGTTATATTTCTGAGCCTTATCTTCAAAAATTAACCAGTAAAAGGCTTATTATATGTTCACTTTGACATTTTCTTGGATTATGCTCCTCTTAAGCACGAAAGATATCATGACCTGGAGTATATAAGCTTATTATTTAGATTGACAATTTATATCCCTTGAAATACGATCACGAAATTAGATCAATAAATTGGCTATAGACTCATATATAGCATATGATAAATTGCACCGTTTATAATCATCTGTGACTATGTTGGGTCCATTTTTCCAATTTTCCTCCCCCTTTCACTTTAGTGAAATAAGCGTGAAAGAAAGGGTTGAAAAAATATTGTAATGATTTGGTTATGAGTTCCCATTTCATGCCAACTAGTAATGCCAAATGGTATTGCTCATTTTATTCATATCTATATAAATAGGATATGACATTTTTCAAAAAATAAAATAAAAAATGTCTCGTTCGAAAGGTGAAAAAGTTATTTTTACGATAAGACGTGTGAGGTTATGAATAAATATGAGATCAAAAGTGTAAAAATTAGAGTTAATGTGATGAAAAAAATAAATATTAATTTATAGGACTACTAGTTAAAATTATATTAGTAAATAAATAGTGTTGATGTGATGAAAATTTTATAATACTGATAATAATTTATTTTTTAATTAAGTTGGTGGAATTTTTTTAAGCACACTGTTGACAACAAAAATAAGTTGAATTACCATAAGTTGGGTGATTTTTTTAAGTGGATGTTGTATGATTAGCAAGCAGGGTTGAAATAACAATTCATTACAGCGTGAGGAAAAAGAGATGTTTTTATGAATTATGATTGCCTCTTACTAATGACATGCATAAATATAATAATAACCAATACAAAATTCAAATAGTGAATATGCATTTAGTTGTGAATCCGTAATTAGCTAACCACTAACTTGTAGGGAATCACTTTCCAGTTTCAACACTCAGATTATCCGTTTACTTTAGTTTAGTATATTAGTCATTAAGTATTTATTTTCAAACTATACCAGATTGAATTTTTTTAATAATTTAAATTTATCGTCAAGTTTGATTTTATATATGAATATGCCATTATTAAAAAAAAAGGCAGGTTTTGAGGTCTCAACAGTCAGCGCCACCAAAAATAAAAAATAAAACAGAATAAATATAAATTTAATATAAAATAGAAGAAGTTGTAGATAAAAGCCAATGGCAATCATATAATTTCAGAATTTGATGATAGTGGCCACTAGTCAATTAAATCAGGCGGGCTCTTTTGTTGGGCCCATAAATGGAAAATGGCCCAAAGGCCCAGAAGAAAAAGAAAAAGATCAAAAGGACAAAGATAAAAAATAATCCTACAATTTTCTACTTTATAGTCTTTTTTATTTTTTATTTTTTATTTTCTCGCATGACAATCGGATCAACTTTTGGATATTCCCATTCTAATCACTTGGAATTTTATCCATAAATATTTTATTTTACTTATTTCTTTTTTTTCTTTTTGCTTTTCTTTAAATCATACAAAATTATAAATATTAAAAAATGCTAAGATACCCTTTATGTTAATAACATCGTTAATCATACTTATGAATTATGATGAACATGTTGAGACGCATGAGAATTCTCCGACTAAAATGTGCGTTGCATTTTATGAACTTTCTATTCTCTCGCTTTTTCCTCAAATCTATATATTAATAAAGAGAAATAAGTCTATTGCTTACTTTTTATATAATAAGTTATTTTCCGGGGCTGGAATAAGTCTATAAATATATATATATTTTAATTCTTTCGTCAAATACTATTAAAAATTATGTGTTTCCTATTAAAATATTTATTTTTCTAACAAGAATCTTGCAATCCATAATTCTTATGGTATACCTACATTGAAANTTAGTTATAAATTAACATACATTAATTATAAATTTGAATTACCATAATAAATTGTAAAATACTATAAATGATTTATAAACCAATCATAAATTATAAAGTAATTAGTATTATTAATGCCAAAGTTTGCAAATAGAGTGAAATTTGTTGGTTATTTGTTGTTTGTTATATATTAAAATATTAAAAATATTTAAAAATAATAATAACTAGCTATACATATGTACATCTATTATTAAATAAAAAAAGTTATAAATAGGCTATTTTTTACTAAAAATATAATATTTGATTATATATTTATAATTCAATATTTATTGTCATTTTATCAACTTTATACATATAGAATAATAAATTAATCCATTACTATAAAATAGCAATAGGGATTTACTTTATGTAGAAAGTAACATCCCGCCTAAAAATTTAAATTTTACTACAATTGGCAACTTTTTTGAAATTGTTTGAAAAATTGGCGGTTGATTTGTAATTTAAATTTCAAATTCATTCAAACATTTCTCCGGCTAGGGACGGATCGTTTCTTGGTTTGGTTCTAGACTTGGTTTTGACTTCAGCTAGGCAGTTTCGGTTGTGGTTCCTAGACCTTCAGATCTCTCCCTGAATTGATTGTTCATCCGCTGGTTCGACTCGACGTTTCTGCTGTAGAAGGGCTTTGTTTGTTTGTTGTTTAGGTTCTTTGTTTTAGTTTGTTATTGTGTTGTTTGTGCTTGTGTTGTTTAGGAATCGTGTTTTTTGTTTGAGCCGTTGGCCTCTGAGCCAGAGTGGGAGCGGGCATTATCCTTTTCGATTAATTCCTGTCTCTATTCTCCTGTAGGGAGCTTTGTAATTTTCTTAGTGTTTGTCGTATTTGTTCTGTCGTGAGCTTGTTTTTGGTTCTAGCGTTGCTAGTGTCGGGGCTCTAGGTGGTCGTCATACTTGTTCTCCCAGTTTATTCAGCTTTTGGTTGTATTATTCAACTAGGATTGTATCTTTGCACATTTGTGTTTTTTTTATATAATATTCTATATCGTTCCGAAAAAAAAAATGATAAATATAAAAGATAAATACATTACTATCCAAGGAAGACCAATAGTTAGATATATAATGTCGCGTACAACAAAAGTTTTCAAAATTATTAATAATTTATTTTATCTTCTTTTTTTTTATACTATGACATTTAAATTTTACTTAATGTTTAGTATAGTCAAATTGACATCGCCTATGCATAGGGCAGTTAACGAACTAAATATTCGCGAACAAAATCTCGTTCAATTCATGTTCGACAATAGCCATTTGTTTGTTAATCGAGTGGAGTTTGAACAGAAAATTAGGCTCGATTAATAGTTGAACGGACATGAACTCGTTGGTTCATGTTCAATAATGTTGGCGAACATTAATTTGATATATTATTATATTTTTTTTTGTTTATTTACATAATATATATAATAAAAAATCTAAAATATGTATATATATATATATATATATATATTTTTCTATTCTCAAGTTCGAACGAACATTATTCGAGTTAATCAGTCATATTCAAAAAATGTTTTCGAAATTATTTAACACAAACGAACTCGAATTTTGTCGAGCAAATTAAACGAATGAGCTCGAATACAATTATTCGCTCGAAGAATACCAAACACTAATAACAATGTTTAAAAATAAACGAACGAACTCAAAATGCCTAAATTCAGCTCGTTTGGTTGAACTACAACACTACCTGGGCATGTACACAAACAAAAGAGTACTAGTCCATAAACTTACTCGAGAGTAACTACTACATTTAACAATATTTATACAATCTTGTGAGAAAAATGGAAAGTGGTTTCAATCCATGTTTTAAATATTGTACCGTACCGGCCGGTAATACCGGATACCGGCCATTGGTACGGTACAATTACACTCAAAATATTAGATTTACGGTTATACCGGTTTGTACCGGGATCATACCGCAAAAACCGCAAAAATACCGGTCAATAAAAAAATATTAAAAAAAAATTAATTTAAAAAAATAAAATTTAAATTGGTAGTTAAAATGTTTAATTTTTATCTCATTGAGAAGTTGTAATTAATGATTATGGTCATTTATTTTTTACTTTTTTGGATTTGATATTATATATTTTTATGTATATTTATATTCATCATTATATTTGCTAATCCGGTAATACCACCGATATTACCGGTCCTATCGGTAATACCGCGTACCGGTGACTTGACCGATATGACCACCGATACGGTATTTAAAACATTAGTTTCAATATTCATGACAAACTTTATACCACGTGTCCAATTATACTTTGTTTACATGAAATTTATCATGGAAGATTACAAGTCATTCTGCTCATCAATAAATTGCTTCAATTTGAAGTATTGGAAATTTCCAATTCATTCTTCCAAAATGATATTGTCCAATATAAAGTAATATACAAGCTACTTATACTTAATCACCTGCTTAATTTTATCCATTAATATATATGTATATGTATATGACTGCATTATATTTATCTTGTTTTTATATATATAAATAAATCACGAAATTAAAAAGGAATGTGAGGGGATGATTGGATATAAATATTTTCGTGTTAATTGGAGTTACTAAATAAAAGTGGGTTAATTTTTTTAAAAAATGATTTCTACCTAAATTCACAATTAAACAACGATGCATATGGGTGACTGAATATAAAATATTTTTTGTTTTGGTTGAATTTATGGGAAAAGTGAGTCAATTTTGGACAAAAGAAAATAAATTGATTAAGCGGATGTTTGATTGAGATTTTAAGTTTGTATTTAAATAATATTTTAAATGTAATAATTAAAGTTGATGTGATGTAAATGTAGTAAATATGTTTTTTTTTTTTGTCGGTAAAAGAAAATTTATAGATCAAAACTGGTATTCGAAGACCGACAAACGACCTACAAAAGCGTACTAGGCAGACACATGCACAGCTCCACACTCTCATGTCATAAAGTCTAAGAAGGTAATCACAGATCGGTTGATCACGTAAATATAGTTATTTGAACTAATAACTAGTTGCAATTATATGAGAATCATGTGACAAAATAATAGTGAATTGAAGTCAATGTATGTAATCTGTGAACATAATTTACTAATATTATTTAACTATATAGATAATATTGATAAAAAATGGATGAAATTAAATTTAAATTAAGTTTTATATTAAAAAGTTAATCGATCAGATAAACCAAGAAAATTTATATCGCCGAAGGTTTCGTATCGGCTGTAGGTAGACGTAGGTGAAAGGAAAACGAGGAATTCCAATTCAAAGCTACAAATTTGGATTTGGTAACTTGTGAACAAGAGTTTGAATGGCTTGTAAATTATGCAAAGTACAAATTGTTAGATGTAGGGTGAGCAAAACCAAAGCATTAATCCAGAAAATTGAGTTTGAATCACTTGATTTATTTAGCATGCAAAAATCATATTCCAATTTCATCTCGATCTTGATGTAAGTGCTGTAGTGTAACTTAATTTGTTTTTTCACAGCTTCATTTTTTCCCCTTATTTCGATATGATTTTGCAACCAACCACACTAATTGAATACTAACGTTGGCAAACTCGAAAAATCGAGTTGATTTGTATAGTTAGATCCAATTATTTCAGTGTGGAACAATCTCATTTTGATTTCAACCTTCATTTGTTTGGAACAATCTCATTTTGATTTTAGTGTGGAACAATCTCATTTGTTTTTTTTTTTAAACGCCACGTTGCAAACCTGTTTGACGATCAACTTATAGCGACATGAGATTGTATTATCGGATAACTGATAGCGAATTATAATAGTTGTTTTAACTTGCGAATTGTATGAGTTGTTCGTAAATAAAATTTGGTAAATAACATTTATTTTAAAAAATTTATTGTGATATGTTATTTATCGATCCTCTAATTTCAAAATGCTTTTAATAGATTTTTTTTCTTCAAAAGTAACGTTTTGGATCATAAAAACTATTCAAATAAGTTTTTAATGAATAAACTAATCAGCGAATTTGACGGACAAACTTCTAAACAAGGTTCAATCAGCTAATTTTACACAACTATTTAGGGAGATGTTTTTAATTGGGCTTTCTAAAGATTTTTTAAAATTTTAAAAATCTTGGTGTATTCAATTTAGTTTTGTTAAGACTTTTTATGACTTTTGAAATCTTGAGATATTCAATTGAAATTTTAAATAGTCTTACAAAATCTTGAGGTATTTAACTTATTTGAGATTAGGATTTATTAAGAATTTTTATGATTCGGTGATATTTCTAAATAAAAAACCTTTAGGATTTATTAAGAATTTTTAAGATTTGATGGGATTTCTAAATAAAAAAAACCTTATACGAAAATCTCACTTCAAATCTCACCACCAGAAGTGCATTCAATTGGGATTTCAAGTGACATTTTGAAACTTTTTTAAGATTAGACTTTTTAAAATTTCAGATTTTGGAGGAATTATGTAAAATATTAAGTCTAAAGATGAGAGTTTAAGTTGAATGAAATCTCACAAAATCTTAAAAAGTCTTAACAAATCCTAGTATCAAATAAGTTAAATACCTTATGATTCTGTAAGACTTTTTAAAATCCCAATTGAATACTCCGAATCTAAATTGAATACACCAAGAAAAACTTTAGAAATCTCAATTGAATACACCTCTCTTAAGATTTTACATAACTAGTATATGATCCTGTGCATTTGCACAGATATAAAACACGTTTTTGTCTGTATTTATTAATTAGACATGTACTTCTATCATATAAAAATTATTACTTTTTCTTATGTTATTTTTATCATTCAAAATTAATTGAGATTTAATTTTTATTTTAACCATGCAATGTTTACATTAGTAACATGAATAAAATAATTTATATATTTGTGGCATATATTAAAAAAACTAACATAAATAAAAAAAATTATTGGTGTTTCTGATTTTTAGAAAAAAAAAAATGTGTCAATTATATTTTTCTTCCAACAATGCAATGAAATATAGCGGTTACAGCTCTAAATGTGCCAATCAACTTTAAGTTCCAACATTAGCGTTACACATTTGAATATTTTGCTACCAAATTTAGAATTAATTTAGTAACTGGTCCAAAAAATAAATAATAAAAATCTATATATTAAGGTATAACGATTTTAGCAAATTAATGAGTAATTAATTAAAAAAATGTAACTTCTTTTGAAGGAAAATAAAAATAGATTTTATTAAATGTTTTATTAAATGCATTAGCTAGTAATTATTTATATATAAATTTCTCCAAAATATGAGAATCTTAAAAAATCTCAAATTTTAAAGTCTCAAAATATCACTTGAAATCCCAATTAAATACACCACCTTAATATCCAAAAAGAGACAATTGTTTTGATAAGTTATTATTATTATTATTATTATTATTATTATTATTATTATAAAAATCTATACATCTTTATTATAATTATTATTATTATTATCTTTATTATTATTATAAACTAATCATTTACAAATACTATTATTAACCCGTTCGTGATTTTCATGATTATTAAGATCTCAATAATTTAGTTTATTCATTTATCAATGATATCTCCGGAACTTTATTTGTTCTTGGACTTTCAGATTTGGATATTTTTTTGTGAAAATTATGGCAGACTATCTTAAATGGCAAAATATCCTACTAAATAAGCAAATGAAATTTATAGCAGTCATCTAAATTTGTAAAAGATCCAAAGAAATTAACATTTATTTTTAAAATATTGATTAATATTAATACATGACCTAAAAACATAACATTTTTATAAGAAAGTCCATAATTAAATTATTTTGTTTATCAAAATAAAAAAGGTTATGTATAAATATCAGCACGAATTTACTTCATAGAGAGAGAAAATCAGTAGATAGATCGATTAGTGAGTAGAGAGACTAGAGAAACAAAAATCCCAAAATAAAAAGGAAGATCGATAAAAGGGAAAAGCAAAAGTGAACAAGGCATTAAAAGCAGCTGCTGTTTTTGGCTGGTTGATGGTGGATTATCAACTGCAACTTCTCAGGGGCAAATTCGTCATTCCAAACACTCATCCCATGCTCTCCGGCGGCGCCGCCGCGCTAGGATCCATCGGCACCAGCATCGGCCAGATCAGCAGGGCGGTCTTCGTTGGAGGTGGCGGATCCTGGAAGGACGCGGCGGCGGACGGCGGCTTGACCCTCGCCGTCACGGCGCTTGCTGGCCTCGCGTTAGCCGCCGCGGTGTTCTACTCCTCTAGGTAAAATAAACTAAAAAAAAAATAATAATAGAGGCGGCCGCCGGCTGATTACATACGGAAAATTGTATGATTCAGTTGTTGTGATTTGTAAAACCTAGGGAGTAATTTATTTTAGTATAAAAAAGGGCAAAAAAAGGTAGTTCCATAGATGAAAGCTCTTAAACGAAGTCAGACTTCGTCATCGTCCAAATCCTCGCCACCGTCGTCTTCCTCAAATACGCCGTCGTCGTCCTCCCCACCTTCTTCCTCGTGGATCCATTTGAGATCGGTTCTGTTCATTGTAGCCTCCTCCAACAACTCACCAGATATTTCTCCCTCTAGTAGCCGGTGAGTCTCTTCTTCCCCACTCTTTTTTATCTCTTTGAATTTGCTCCCTTCATAGTTAAATCTTCTTATCCATAAGTTGTGTTCAGTTTAGGTGCTTTCAGTTCAGATCTCGAGTTTCTACTTCCAAAGATTTTGTTACTTTTGTCAATCTATTAATCTTTCCCCGCTCTTCTGCTCAGCCCGATAGCCATTGCTGCCCTTCTTTTCGCCTTGTTATTTGTTTAAGTTTTTTATGTTCTGGTCTTAGTCTTCAGTCAGTTTAGTTGTTAATTGAATAAAAAAGTTGATGTTTATCTACTTTGTTGGTCAAAGACATGCTGAAGATCTTGAATGATTCATCTGTTGTATATTTCAGTGGTTGGTAAATGTGAAAGCCTATGCTTGTGTTGTTGTTGTTGTTGTTTTGTCTTTTGAGGAATTAAGGACTTAAAGTGCAACATGTTGCTTTCATAGTGTTCTTGAGTTCTAGATCTTATGAATCAAATGACTTCTTAGATAGGTAGTGTAATTAATAAATATAATATAGTTACACTTTGCTGTTTATCAATCAAGGAAAAAGAAACAGAAAGAAAAAATCTTGGTTGAATTGGAAATTGTTGGTTAGCCTCTTTTCGATGATTTTCATTTCTGTTTTCTCTGAAGTTTACTTGAACAAAATGGTGGGGCATAAGTCTTATGTAATGTTATTGTTCAGTGTTTTCGATTGAAGCATAAGAATGACATGTAGCATAGAATCGTTGATTCACATATCTGTGGTGATTAAATTATTTGCAGCCTAGTGGGAAAGATTGCCTTTTTATAGCATGTCTGCATATACGTTCACAGTGGCATGTTCTTGACCAAAAATTGAGGCTTTTTATGTTATACTGTTAGAATTCAACTTAATCTTAGCAAATTTACATATATTGTGTTACCTCAGGGTTTTTAAAGTGTGCCATGCTCATGGTCAATAATATGGCAGTATGATGTTTATGTTATGCATTTCTGTTGCAACGGTTGCTGTTTTTGTATGCCAATCATCTTTTAGCTGCTCTAGGGTTTAGAAGGGAATATTATCTACTCTGAAATGTTAAGAGCTTATTTATCACCTGCTAGTGATGAAACTTGATTATGAGGTAGTTTCTGTCCTATGAAACTAGGGATCAAAGTTAGGTTATGTGATTATAGCATCAATTTTTCACCTTAGAAAACACCATTATATGTAGATAAAATCCTTTTTTATTGGTGTGACTGATTTTATTTGTATGCTGGCGCTATTATTTATCCTATGAACAATAAGTGTTATTCTTTGTTTTTCAGAGGCCGTCTTAAATCCCCATGGTTTCGAAGGAAAAGAAAACACATACTCTCACCTGATCAGTGGAGAAATTACTTCACTCCCGAAGGGAAACTCCGTGACAATGGAGTTAAATTTCTGAAAAAAGTTCGCAGTGGAGTGAGTTTGTGATTCCATATCACTTCAATTTTTTTCTTCAAGGGCTATGCTCGAGCTTTTTAATAATTTAAAATTATAGTTGTGCATAGGAAAGTCATTTGAAAGGATTTGTAATTTATTTGTGTAGGGTGTTGATCCTAGTATTCGAGCAGAGGTCTGGCCGTTTCTTCTTGGAGTGTAAGTTAATTCACCTTTAGAACTATGAATATAAATATAGCACAATCATGCTGCTCCGTTATATTTTAAATTGAGTTTGCTTTAGAATATTCATATTCATAAATATTAAAAAACTTCAGTTTCTCATACAGCCTTTCTGAAGTGCTTATAGATAAAGCAAAAAGACCAATTAAGAAAGTAAATATAACATAGGTAGATGAAGAGAAGATTTCTTATTGACTGAAGGGAAAGGGTTGGTTTAACTTTAACCCATGTTTCCAATTGTCCGTGGCTCTTGTACATTTATGTCCAGCCTATGATTCCATGTTTGCCTGTTCCAAAACCCATTCTCATTTTTCACACGTTGCTCAATCTGTAGTCTCGGATTGGTTTAACACAAAATTTCCACTTTCCACCTCCCAAATGTTCGTCTATGTTCTTTGGCTGATCCCTTGCATGTCATGTTTTCTCTATTTCATTTTATTTGTCCGTAAGTGTTAGATAGTTTACCAATATCTTCTTACTGAAGTCAAAACTCATACACCAGAGATGTCTCCATTCTCCAAGACACTCTTTTTCTACTATGGATCAGCTGGCATGTATAAATTTGACTATAACCTGCCATTCTGTTGTTTAGCAATATCCTTGAATCATATTACAAGAGATTCTCTGGTGGAAGATTTGTTTTATTTTTTTCTGCATAACAGTAGCCTTACTTCCTTTTGCAGATATGACCTGACAAGTTGCAAAGAAGAAAGAGATGTCACAAGAACCAAGAATAGGTGGGGCCACAAACTTGACACATTCTTTTCCCAACACATGCACACGCACAAAACGTTCTTACACTAGAACATGATCTCCTTCTCATTTTTTTTTTCTATTTCACATTCCTTCGTTTCTGGTAAGCAACCCGCATATAAGATGAAACATACAACAAATTACTCAATAACTATTTTGCTAACATTTCCAGAAAAGAATATGAGAAACTGCGGAGACAGTGCAGCCGGCTACTTAAGCGCAACAGCAGCAGCAAACATTCTGAGTCGAATGAAAGTGGCGAAACAATCAGTCCCGGCACAGATTCTCCCGCCTCAGAAGATGTCGAGAGTGCCCGACAATCTCTCTCCAGTGAAGAATCATCTTTCCAAAACAACAACATTATTGACGAAAACGACCCTCCTTCCAGCTCAATAACAGACTCTCATGTCTGCTCCAGACGGATTATTAGCGATGCAAACTCCGCCTCCAATTCCGAATCCGATTCCACAGACTCCGACTCATCCGACGAACACGAAACCAGTCAAACTTTCAGTTTGACCGAAAACGCAGACCACCACGAAGACGAGTCCTCAGAAACAAACTCTCGTCCCCCGCTCTGCAGCCAGGAAGATTTCGCCACATGGCAGCGCATCATTCGTCTGGACGCCATCCGAGCAAATGACGAGTGGATATCCTACAAACCCCCACAGGCAATCATTTCCGATTCAAAGGCCCGTCGAGCGGCCGAGGCCGTAGGCCTGAGAGACTACGAACACCTCAGCCCTGCACGAATCTTTCACGCGGCTCGTCTAGTCGCAATTCTCGAAGCTTACGCTTTATACGACTCGGAAATCGGCTACTGTCAGGGAATGAGCGATTTACTATCCCCAATCATATCTGTTGTGACGGAGGACCACGAGGCCTTCTGGTGCTTCGTGGGCTTCATGAAGAAGGCCCGTCACAATTTCAGGCTCGACGAGGTCGGGATCCGAAGGCAGCTGAGCACGGTCTCGAAAATCATTAAATACAAAGACTCGCACCTCTACAGGCACTTGGAGAAACTCGAGGCTGAGGACTGCTTTTTCGTGTATAGAATGGTGGTCGTGCTTTTCAGGAGGGAGCTGACATTCGAGCAGACGCTTTGCCTTTGGGAGGTGATGTGGGCCGACCAGGCGGCTATAAGGGCTGGGATAGGGAAATCGGCGTGGAGCAGGATAAGGCAGAGGGCCCCGCCCACGGACGATCTCCTACTCTACGCGATTGCGGCCTCGGTTTTGCAGAGGAGGAAGCAGATAATCGAGAGTTATAGCAGCATGGACGAGATTTTGAGGGAGTGCAATGCGATGGCGGGACATCTCGACGTGTGGAAGCTGCTCGATGACGCTCACGACTTGGTGGTGACACTACACGAGAAAATCGGGACTTGAAGACTTTTTTTTTGTTGGTGAAAAAAGTTTGGTAATGGTAATTTACTAATTTATTTATTATAATACCTCTTCTGAGAGATTATTGCTTCTGGGTTTGTTTGTGGGGCTATATGGGGGGAAAGAAAGAGCTTGTTCTGAGGCTGCGAAGAGGCTACTTTTGGATATTGGATGAAACTGAATTTATTCTTATTTAACTTTTGTTGAACCGTGAATTAATTCGGGTTTGGGATTTCGGGCTNATTCGAAAATAAGGCTGGACTCCGTCCTAGAATCTAATTGATGGTTTCAGACTAAAGTCGATTTGATGTGTTTTATTTATTTGTTTTCAGACAGTGGAGATTGGTATGAAAGGAGAACTTTTAAGGTTTAAGTAATCTACAACGTCAAAGTGGAAAAAAAACCAAATTTGGCTGCTAATGGAAGTCCAATGAGGAAAAACCAGTAGGTTGATTGCAGGCTTGCGAACGTGAAACCAACAAAAAATGTGGTAAAAAAAAAAAAATACAATGCACACGCAGATAAAAGCTGAAAATGTAGAAGCACCTTCTAAAAACACAGTCTCAACAGTTTATAACGGCCCTTTAGCCGTTTAGCGTACATAGAGGATCCAAATCTGCAAATCACCTAGAAATTTTGCATACCCAAGATAAATAAAAAAACTCACAACAAGAGTGCTGAAGTTCATTCTGCAACCGACAATAACAACAATAGCAATCATAATGAAAAAAAGAAATCCACGATCCAAGTGACCATCAATTCACTTTCTCTCTGGTATAGTAGCGGACAGTAAAAGCCAAGCCAAGGATCAATAGAGGCACAAGGAACTGCAAAATTTTGATCACAAAATCAGAAGTCTTGTCTGGGTTGTACTGGGCTTGTTGTGGGGGAACGTAGGCCCGTTTCAAGGGGACTGTTGCCGGGTCTATCTCCCCAATGTAGTACTTATCCAGCATTTCCCGAGCAGAATCACTGTGGCCAACGTCTTCAAAGTCGTTGGTTGCATCTTTTCCTGTAGATTGCAAATTTATTCAGTATTAAGTGTAAAATGATCCTTGATAAAGGACATGCACAAAATTGCACAAGCAAAGAAACATGTAAATGGGAATAATGCGGCATTTTTATTACCCGTGGCTGATAACAAAACTTCATCACCTCCCGGGTGATCGTCCATGAATGAAGTTACATCATAAACCTGAAAATATATGAAACGAGTTTACTTCAAAATAAAGGCGAAAAAAAGAGTTGAATATAGGAGCCCATCACACACAACTATCCAGTAAATACTTAACCATGTTCATGAGCGTTATAGTCGTATAGCTAAGACATATGATTTCTCTATATTACCTTGAGCTAAAACTTACGGGTCTCTAAAGTGGCACTTCAACTAATAAAAGTTACAAATGAAAGGAAAAAAAAAATAAAGTGCACAATAAACCTTACGGAACACACATGTTTCTTGAAATTCATAAGCCCAGGAAGCAACAAACCAGAAGCATAATATCCACTTGCTGAATTGCAGATCACTAAGCACAAGTGTTCACAAACACCTCCCCACAAACGGATCTAATATCCAAAAACTGCTTTGGAAATTTGAAATTAAGCATTCATCAAATGAATTGACATAATTTTACACGTCCGGACCATAACTCGGTACCAATTACAATGATTGTCAAACAATGAACATACTGCACCGCGAAAGCTTCACATGTCAGCTACAATATATCAAACTTAATGCATCATCTTCAACCACTCTCCACAACTGGAATGACTCGACACGAAGATCAGAGCTCAAAAGCTCAATAACAGATCAAATCACCAACAAACAGGAAAATTCAAAACATAACACTGAGCGTGCCACTAAATCTACAGTACTTGAAACACAACAAAATTGGGGAACAAAATCTAATTTCAGGCGTGAGATCTGACCTTTCCACTGATAATCAGCCAGCAATCTTTGGTCTGGTTATGCTTCGCGACCTCCTCGAACACGTGAACCTTCGGATCTGACGCCATTTTTCTCNAAAAAAAAAAAAAAAAAAAATATCTCCACCGATTATGCTCAAAATACTAGACGATTCACAATTTCACACACAACAAAGCAGACAGATTCGAAGCATGTGCGGAGAAGACAAAAAAAAGTGAATTTTTACCAGAGAAAAAGTTGGATCGAGAAAAACTTTACAAGCTACAAGAGAGAGAAAGTTGAACCCCAATTAGAATTATATAATGAATATATTCTCTCTCTTGTAGCTCGAGTAGTTGCGTTTGAAACGAGGATGCTACTTGTTAGAGTACTGGTAGTTCATTGTGACCATCCATTGCACCTATATATATTCGGCCATTTTTGCAATTCAGCCCTCAAAGATTAAAAAAATGCTACATTCGAACCCGACCCAATCGCAGTTTCGGCCCAATTGTAATTGAAGGTTTAGTGGATCTTGTAGTGATATTTGGGCTTTTTTATATGGGAAATTTTCAACCTTCCTACGTGATATTCAAATAATATCAAATTTATCATTAAGAAACAAATAATTTGGAAGATACTTGATAGACCAAATATATTTACGTGAATACCTAATCTTCAGTTATATGGTAACTTCATTCCTTCCATATCTGATTGACGTGAATTACGGGATGGTAACCGCTAAAGATACAGAACGATTCAAACAAACATCTCGCCAACGCTCCATCGTCATCATCCCTTCCTCTGATCTTTCCCGTCGCCGCCGATCTCCAAGCTGCGACCACCCAGACGCGCCGCGACACCATCACCATCATCTCGTCATCTCCTCCTCCGCCATCCTCCCGCCGGCGAGTATCCTCCGCGTGGACCTGCGAATTTCGATCAGAACCAGTCGCGAGCCCTCTGCGACGAGACCCCAGCAACGCCACGACCCGCTCTCCTCCCACGCCGTGAGTCGCTGCCCAGCGCCGCCTCCATCTCGCGAAGAATTCCGGCGACCCTTGTTCACGCGTGAATTGTGGCTTCCGGTGAACCCTGTAACGACCAGACGCCGCGACCAGCCTCTTCCTCCGGCGATTAGGACATCCGCGAGCCGTCGTCCTCAGCCTCTGCGGCCCGCTTTCCCTCCGCCGTGACAGTCCTTTCCGGCCAAGTGTATATCTTAAGTAAGAAAAACGACTGTATAACTTAGGTATATTTGAGGTATATTTTAGGTATATCTTAGGTGCATTTATGTGTATGTGGGTTCTGCCCGTGAGAAACGATCTGCTAGTGAAAATATCTCGAGTGTAGATCTTAGGTATATTTTATGTATATGTGGGTTTTGAAATCGATTTCGAGAAACGATTGAAACTCGATTGTATATTTAAAGTATATTTTATGTATATGTGGTATCGTGAATTTGAATTACGTGAATCTCGATTGTGTATTTTATGCATATTGTACGTATATTTTATGTATATGTGTGTTGTGCAACTTTGGTATATACCCGCAACATATACCCGCAACGTGTAAATTTTTCATACCCGAAATATACAAATTTTCATATCGATACATATACCGAAAATATACTATATATAACCACAACATATACCCGCAACAAGTACATAATATAACTATCTATCAACAAATCAAGCACACCAAGTGTTAGACAATTATCCTCTAAGAAGTTTTTTGTTAGAACAGATAGAAAAAAAGTACATAGTAAACATATATTGTACATAACTAATATACCAAACATAAACTAATTTGTACAGAAAATATACTGAGTATAAACCATATATATACAAAAACATCTTCTAATATAATGAACATATACCCCCTATACACACAACATATACTGAACAATTTACAAAAAAACTCTTCTAATATACTGAACATATACTCCCTATACACACCACATATACTGTCTGTCTATACACGCAACATCCAACATATACTGCCGTGAACATATACTTTACATATACTGTACATATACCCCAAAAATAAATCAAACGAAAAAAATTCTCAAAAAAGCTGTCATGATTTTCTTCTTCTTCACGGCCTCGGGTGTTTTGACATCGCTCAGACTCTTCGTCTTCTTCTTCGCTAATTTCAATTTCAAACTTGACTAATTAGAATAGAAATATTGAATTACGTGGCGGTGCTTGTCCGTGGGGCGCGGCGGTGCTTGACCGAGGCGGAGGCGGAAGGAGAATCGGAGGAGGTGGCGGTGGCGCGAACGGTGAGGGCGGCGCGAGGGGTGGCCTGCATCTTAAAAAACACAACCACAGGGATCGAAAAAGAAGCAACCGCATCCGATGATGCCTTCCTAACAATCAAATTATTTGCTACCAATAAAAGAAAAATTATTTGTTATGGGAATTAAAAAAATAAATCATTTACAAGGGTTGAGAGGACTGTCAAAGAAGAAGAAGAAGAAGACGAAGACGAAGAAGAAGAAGAAAGAGGAGAGATGAGAAGAAGAATAAATTCTCCATTAATAGGAAATAAATTTTGTCCAATTTATTGTAAAGATATGTGATTAATTAAGGAAATTGGTTGAGTAACGTTCCATGATATCCGCCCTTAGCTAACCAACCCAAAATCACGTTTCTAGCATATTTGAAAATAAAAGTAACACTTTCAGCAATTTTACAAATATTTATATATTAGATGTATTTTTGCAAATAAAATGGAATAATAAAGTGGAGGATGTAATTTCCTCTTTTTATATTCATCGACTTGGGCTATTGAGTTTATAGAACTATAAAAGAGTCCAATCAAGTCGATTTTGAGCTCATGAATTTTGATACTCAATGCTTTAGTCTCCAACTCAACTTGGTTTATTAACTTAACGAGCTGATAAATGAGTTTATGTTTACCTGATTAGCGAGCCTTAACAAAGTGAATTTAAATCTTAACATTTTGAGTTATGCTAAAAATTAATAAAATTATGTAAATAATCATATTTATCAAACACAACTAAACTTGAACAAACTCATGTCGTAACAAACCGAACACATGGCTTACTCGTTTTGTTTAAATATTTTAAATTTTATAACCATATTAATGGGTCACTTGTAAGCAAAATAACTTAACAAGAACAATTATTTCAAATTTGATATAATAATAACAACCTTTCAATATTCTTTCGTTGTCTAATTAATCAAAATAATGATTCAATTATACAAAAGATGAGCAAGTCCAATCACAAACAAGAGGTGGAACTAATCCCACCTGTTGTTGTTTTTAGTGCCGATCACTTTCCAAAACTCCAAAGGCCAAAACCTTATTAAAATAACACCCACACATTTTAATGTGCAGATTTTTAAAAAAATTAATATACAAAAATAAGTAACATGGCAAAGCAATAATGGACTTAAGCTAGTATATTGTCTACATCCAAAATCAGAAGGATTTTTATATTATACAATAAATTTCTGCTTTTAAGAGGGATTAATAATCACATGTTTGTCTTTTCACTTCCACAGTTCCACTTTGTCAATATACATTATGGTTATAATGATGTAATAAATTGTTGTTATGCTTGTTATTGGTGCAGAAATCTAAAGTGTAATAATACTGTTGTAAAATGTATCCACATGTACAATAGCTACAGACATCTGGATCTAAGTTAAAATAATTTTCAGAAGTCCAAACTATTTTTAATTCAAAAAAGATGAATGAATCAATTAGTAAAAAAAAAACAAGGGGAAGAAATGGTTTAAGGTTAGCAATTATTTTTCAGAATTTGGAAATAATTATTATACACCTCAATAAACATAAATGAAAAGTAACAGTAATAAAAATAAACTCTTTAATGCATAATTTTTTTCTAAAAATGAGAATAAAAAGGAAGAGGAGATGGGAGTAATGGCTCCCATGGAGGAATTCTTGCCGGGCATGTCCCCTGTCCACCGCCCATCTCCTCCCCCCACCTTCAGCTTAATCGGGCTCGCCGGAAAGCCCGAGACCTTCCCATTTAACCCGATCCGCGGCGGCGACCCGCGCGAGCTCCACGAGAGCGACGTCGTCTGGTCATTCGCCGTCTCCCCCGACGGCCGCCGCCGCTTCAATCCGGAGAGATCTGGCCTCTCCGCCCTCCTCTCGGACGAAGCCTACCGCCCCGTCTGCCAGAAATCTAGCCCCGTGGCCATCCCAAAGGAGTTGCGGCAGGGGGATGGTCATGCTCCGGCGAAGTTCCGACAATCGGTACCCGTGAACATCCCGGCGTGGCCAAAGAATTTGAAGTGCTCCGGCGAGGTGGAGGTGGACGACGGTGGCGGGGAGGCGGGGGAGATGGTGCCCCCGCACGTGATCGTGGCCAGGTCGCACGTGACGTTCTCGGTGTTCGAGGGCGCCGGGAGGACGCTGAAGGGCCGTGATTTGCGCCGGGTCCGCAACACCGTGTTGCAGAAAACAGGTTTTATCGACTGATCGAAAAGAATTTCAGGGAAAAAATGCTGTCTTTACAATAATATGACAGAAATTTTGGAGATGAATGTCCTTTTTGTCATATATTAATTTATTTCTCTCTTTTTGAGTTTTTTCCCCCTTCCTATTGTCCTGTTTCTCTGTTTATTGAGTTGTGGATATATATGCCTGAGGAAATTGTGCTCCCATTTGTTAGTGTAGCTGGATTATATATGGTGGTGGTGAAGATAATTGAATAGGACTGTGAGTAAAGTGAACACAACTTAGTGAAGAATAAGAAGAATGGTGAGCAATTAGATGAAAGAGTTCGATTTTATCGAGTTCTTGTGAGTGTTCTGTTAGTAAGAACAGGTCCATGTGTTGATGCATTTTGTCTTTGATTATTGTTGATCTCATTTTGTGATGTATACATCTGAGATCTTGATATTAAATGTAGGTAAATAAATCTGCTCTTTCGGGTGAACTAGAGTAAGATAACAGGTGTAAGGTCTCTCAAAATGTATTTTTTGTTCATATTGTTCTCTGTTTTGTTGTTGGATATACTTCTTCCAGTCTCACCTTTTTCTTGCACTTCCTAGAAATTCTTCTCATCTTTTCTAAGTATTGCTGGGTTTCTTTGTGGGAAAAAAGATGTTTTTCTTCTTCCTGAAAAAGACATTTATCGATATGTATGAATCTCATTGACAAGAATTGGGCCATATTTCATTTCCATGGCTGCATGTCAGCCTTCAATATAAATGTAGAGGCATATACTGTTAGCTTTGTTTTCTCCATTTTTCCTATTTATGCTCTTTCCCTTTTTTCCCCTTCTTAATAGAGGTTGTCTACATGAATTGTGGTTCTTTTCAAATAAGTACACTGAATGAGAAATCCATAACTTCTCTTTTTATATAGGGTTAATAACTTTTTACCATCCGAACTATCACGATTTTTTCCAAAATTACTTCCTTCACAAGCCGCCCTTCCCGGGCAAGAAGCTCATGCAGATGGGCGGCCTAATCCCAACCATAGCCAACACGCATGACGGCAACACCCAAAGCCCGTCCCCACATATTAGGCCCGAAGCCACCGCCGGCACCATCGGGCCCGCCTCCTCCCTCCCGACCCTCTTCCCCCACACCAACACCACCAAACTCCCACCGCGAAATAACCCCCCACCAAAAACAGCACCGCCATCCCCATCGGCAGCGGGACCCACCTCCCGACCCTCTCAGGGACCGCGTCCCTCAGGAGGTTGACCGACACCGCCAGCGTGAAGAACCCGAAACACATATACAGGCAGTGGTCGGGCAGCGCAGAGAACCCCTTGGCCCCGAGGGCCGCCATGCTCCGGTACGGGGCCGCGTATGGGGCCTTGTAGGGCCCGTTGGGATCCCCGATCTCGAAGGTTTTGTAGTATAGGAAAAAGGCGAGCGGTCCCACGACGCAGCCAACTGCAGTCCCCACGGCCTGGCCCGCGGGGAGGCGAGGGTGAGGTGGGCCGTCTTGAGGTCCTGGACGAGGTCGGCAGAGGCGAGGGCGATGGACTTGACGAGGCCGCAACCGACGAGGCCTGCGAGGGCGGCGAGAACGAAGAGGGCCACCTTGCCGTAGTTGTTTGCCATGTTCATGTCGGTGAGGCCCGAGGAGTAGGCGTTGCAGAAGGCGAGGGCCGGGGCCAGGGCGTAGGCCGCGAGGACGTAGGGCCAACGGAGTTGGGGGAACATGGCGGGGACCACGAGGGTGGAGACGGCCGAGAGGAGGGCGTAGCCGGACAAGGCTGCCCAGGGGGATGCCGTCCCGGAGGAAGACCTCGTTCAACCGGGTGCTGTCGTTGTTGACTGTTACAAGAAACGTGTTAATCTATATGTATGTCGTTGGAACATTTCAACCTACTATTGACTGTAGTGCAGCCATCAGGTTTTCTATTTTACCGTTGGATCAATACACACATGTGTGGGTATGTGTTGACCCAACAGTAAAAAATCTAGTGACTGCAATATGTATGTATGTTATTAGAACAATTAGTGATGGTTTGGTTTGTTGGTGCGTTGTTGTAGACTGTGACAGAAAAACATGTTACTATGAATGATAACAACAATTCTACCCATCAGTGGTTGCAGTAACTGTTTTATTATCGTTGGATGAATACATACCATTGCAGAATGCATAATGTGTGTTTATTTGTTGATCTAACAGTGACTGCAGTGTAGGCACCGTATGTCATCGTCATCATCATCTATCATTTTTTTCTTAGAAAGAGACATGCAAAGTTCACTAAAAAAAGTGTGTGTTCACCTGCTGCTACAAGATTCCTCTTCTTTATTAATGAGAAATGCATGCTTCTAAAGGTAACTAGCATGGTCTTGACAAAATTGTACAGTCCATCTCCTAGAATAAGAGCTACTGCAATAAAAACCTGCATTTTTTTTTTTCCAAAAAGAAAGCATATTTATTCTTGATTTCAAATAATACGAATGAACACGAACAACGAAAACACTAGAACGACTCGTATGTTCCGTTTAGTACAGTATAGACCTTAAAAAAAATCTTACTTTGGAGCCACTCAAACTCTTCATGCTGCTTTCCTTGATATCCTGCGGGAACCAGACTCCCTTCTTTTCACTAATCAACGGCCACATTATGCCGTACGAAAGAACAGCCCCAAGAAGCAGAGACAAGTTCACAATGTGGGAGCAAATCATGCCAGCTCCCACATAAGTCATACTGAAATCGAAGTAAAATCTGCCAAA